ATTGTCCCAGCCACACTTTGACGTTGAAAACAAATAACGAACTTTTTGATCTTGACGAGAGATACGAGTTTAAAGGCAAGGATCAAAAGAATTGTTTCGTGTATGAACTCACTGGTTTGAGGCATATAGTTCTCACTTTCCTTCCTGAAAATTCAACATCCAAATATCAACCAGATGATGCCGGTATAATTATGTCTTTTAAGAGGCATTATCATCGCCTTTTTATGGATGTTGTATTAAGTTCGGTAAACCTCAAGAGAATGTTGCCTATTTTCACAGTTGGTAACGCAATTGAGATTTGTGTAAAGGCTTGGGATAAAGTGACTAAGATGACAATAACCAATTGTTGGGAACACGCTGGGTTTTGCAATTGCTTTGAAGACTGTGACGAAATTATTGATCCTCGTTATGACTGGGAATTTGAAGGAGAAAATATACCCGCTTCAATGACGAATGAAGAGTATAACAACGACACGAATACTTTGTTAAAAATAAACGAAAAAGAAGTTGAAGATATCAAAGAAAATATTCAGACGCTCATTGTCCAAAAAGAGCAAATAGATAAAACAATTTTTGAATTACAAAAAAGATTACATAATATTGAACCTGAAAATGAAGACATTCCTGTAAATGTTAATGAACAGAATGAATCGTAGTTGTCAAGGAAAGTATTCTTTTTGAAAGAATGCAAATACATTCATTGTATTATTTCTAAATAAAATTTACTTGTTTATCTATTTTTATTATTATTATAATATTTTGTTTATTTAATAAAAATGTTTTATTAAAAATTTAATAAAACATAGTTTTTATATTATTTTAATTGACTTTTTAATTTAGTGACAAATTAATCCAATTATTACCATTTTAAGTTTTTAAAATGAAATAACCAACAAAAAGCAAACACATAAATTTCTTTTTTTATTTTTTTTTTCTATTATTCGATATAAGGGCTTCCTCTTATTTTTCTCTCTTATATCGAATAAATCCTTATATCAAATAACCCTTATATCGAATAATGACTGTATTTTATAAAAATTTAAATAAAATAGTAAAAAACCTATAAAATTAAACTAGTCTTAGCTTAAAAAATTGAATGGCGGTTGAAGTCGGAACAGACACCTTTTTGTCTGCCCGATTTTACACGTTCAAATAATTCTGAAATTTGCTGCATTTGTTGCATTCTCCCCCTTCCCACAAATCGTCATAATTTCAAACTGTGCAACTTATTGAGTCTTTAAAGCCACATTAAACTGAGGCTTTTTATTGTTGTTGTTAAATCACGACTCAGACTGTTAAATATTCTTTGTTTCGCTTCAACCGCAAATTATTTTTTACCCAAAACTGTCTGCAAATCAATACCATTCGACATGTCATCGAATGTGTCATTAAGCCGTAAAATGGCTTTAGCAGCGCCAGAGAGTTCATTCATATTGTCGTGGACCTTGTCTTTTACATTTATTATGAAGCTTTATTTTATCGGCCAAGCCTTTATCATATTATTTAAGTGGCTCACTTATCAGCTTTGACTCGAGCTGCTATTCTACTTCCCTATATTTTTATTTCCTTGTAAAGTTTAATGTTTTTTTATAAATGAAGGTTTTTTATTACGACGATTAAAATATTATTTGATACCTTAATATTATTTTTTATAGTTCAATTATAGTAAATATAGTGTATGTTGTAAATTAAAAGATTAGAGTACCGTGAAAAATCACTGCGGCGTGAAATATTACTGCGAATTGTTATTGGGCAAAAAATAATGTTATTGCTGCTTATAAAACATAAAAAATAATTTACTTTGTAAAATGTTATATAATATGGCTATCAATTAAAACAAGGGTAAATTCGTAAAAACGAACATTTTAAACAACTCAAACTAGATATTGGTTTTATTTTATAGATTTTAACAATTTATAAAGTAAAATACGAAACAATACATCAAAACATAATAACAAAAACGAATAAGTTAGGACATCGTATATTTAAATAAATAGTCCACTCTTTGGTTTTTATAAAACTCTATTTGATTTCTTTTCAGCTAGTCGTTATTTTATGCTGGGAATATTCAAATTATTAACCTTTATTGTATAAACATAATTTATCATCAAAAACAATATGTTTTAACATAATAACAATATAAAAACACACAGAAATATAAACTCGAATAATTTTAGATGGAACAAACGTATTAACATTTATATTATTATTAAAACAACAATTACAATAAAGTGAATACAGATATAATACAAAAACGTGTTATGAACATATCATATTAATAAATTAATAAAAATAAAAATATTTGATGATAACAAACGGTTAACGAGCGTGGGTTTGTCGGGTATAATTATTTAATCACACATGTTTTAAAAAATAAATAATTTGTTGAAATGAAAGAATTAAGTTGTTTGGGGTTCTGGTGTATTAACCCTTTTAAAATACAGATAGAAGAATTATTGGTTGTCATAGAAAAAGTGGTTGTCATGAAAATAATGTTATTAAAAACAAAAAAAAAATCGATTTTTTTTCAAAAATTTTCCCAGTGTACTGAGTAAGTCAATTATCAAATGAAATAATAAATATTAACTAATTTGTTTTATGTTTTTATAAAGTATTAAACAAATGTTAATAATGTTAATATTTAAAACTTTTAACAATAATAAAAATTATGTATTTGGAAAAGACTTATTAAATGAAGTATATTTGTTTTTTTTGGTGAACCTTACTACAGTAGGAGATAAAGACAATGAAAACAATAATCAGCACAAAACGTTTGGTTAATTTGAACACAAACAACAGTTTTCATAACAAAATGTCATATTTGTAATATATGTCATATTACATATTGTTTATTAATGAATGTCTATTGATTAATTATTCGTTTTCAACGTTATTAATATACAAACCTGATAATCGTGATTTTTGCTTGTTTGATTTACACATCCCCAACTTATTCATAATAAATTGCACATCCCCCACATCAATTCATTTTATATCGAGACGACAAGGTGCAGTCAATTTTGATTTTGAAGATGAGTAAAATATTTTTGTGCTTTTTCTGTTTTTTATATAAAAATAGTCTTTTTTATTTTTTTCATCCTTTTGACAACCACTTTCTGAAAAATCAATCCAAATCACCACTGCTTTCCCGTAATTTTGCTTGTTAAACAACTAACAATTTATAATTATTAAAAATAAATTAATAAAAATACTTTTTTATACTCTTGACAACTACTTTTTCTATGACAACCACTTTTTCTTGCATCTGTAATAGTAATTTAAAATAAAATTATCTATAATTAATCGACTAGTTTAATTATATGATAATAATTATTAAAAATAGTTTCACATTTAAAAAAATAAATTATAATTTATTGTTGTTTTATTATAAATTTTTGCTATTGATATGTTGATGTTAATTAAAAATACACGTTAATTAACCATTTCACTTGTTTGATGTTTATTATATTTTAATTATATTTATACTATATTAATAGTTCATTGTTAAATTTATTTGATGTGAATTGTGATTGTATTTCCACAACATTCCACAATCAAAATAGCCAGTGATCATACAACCAACATGTCAAGTATTTACTGAACAGTTTATATATTACAGATGTTGTTATGAAATACATAATTATATTGTTTATACATTTTGTTTTTGAACCATTTTTTTGCGTCAGGGTGTGACGGGTTAGATTCTTTCTTTAAATTTTTTAATCGAAAAATCAACTACTTTCATAAAACATCTACAAGACATTGAGTAAT